CTTTTCCTTGGCAGCCAATCCTACCTCTTCCATTGAGGAAGAGATGCCCATCTCGGGCAGCAGTAGGGTTTGGAACTCTTACTTCAGAAGGGCCTTTTCTGATAGCGAGGCATTTGATTTTCTCTCTGTCTTGCTACACTCAACCTTTTTGGCTCTCACTGGCTTAGATAGGATACTGTGGACCCCCTCACCCTCTGGTGTCTTCTTAGTTGCATCTTTTTACAAAAAAACTGTTGCAACCACCCACCTTCCTTCACATTCTTACTTCGGTTACGAGTGTTCAATTGGTTACGTGCTCCGAGAAGGCACTAACTGTTGATCAATTAAAACGCAGAGGTATCCCCATCTCTGAATCGATGTGTGATGTGCCTTTGTGAAGAAGGGAGCAACCTGCACCTCTTCATACATTGTAACCTGGCACTCAACCTTTGGAGTCGAATCCTTTGCCTCTTTGGACTCTCTTGGGTTATATCGGAGTCCCGTCATGCGCTCCTTTCTATGTATTTAGATTCACATTGGCAAAAGGTAGGCAGGCTACTCTGGAAAGCTTCCATGGCAGCTACCATTTGGGCCATTTGGTTAGAGAGAAATGAAAGAATCTTTCACGGAGTCAAATGTGAACCCTCGACCCTCTTCCACAAGATCACTGCCCAGGTCATATTTTGGGCTTCAAATCATACGGCCTTCAAAGGCATCTCAGAAGCGACCTTCCTACATGAATGGGAGAATGTCCTCAACCTCCAAACACCGAGGGTTGGGTGAGCCAATAACTGGTCTCCACCCCCTATTGGTCTTATTAAACTGAATTTTGATGGGTGTTCGTTGGGAAACCCCAGCACAGCAGGTGTTGGAGGCGCCTTCCGTAACCACAGAGGCAACTTTCTGGCCACTCTCTCGGAATCTATAGGTTACTTTGAATCCCATACGGCAGAATCTTTGGCTTTCTTGACAGGCCTCAAATTATTTAACATAGCTTGGGGCCTGCCTCTAATAATGGAAGGAGTCTATAGGTCATCACCTGGGCTTCCGGAAAATCAGTTCCCCCTTTGTAACTTGCTTCGATTTATGATGAGATTTTGCACATTTGTAGGCCATCTTATGGAGGCATATTTGGAGGGAATCAAATGCCGTGGCGGACCGCATGGCTAAGAAAGCAGTGGCGGCTCAAGTCGAGGATGCATAAACGTTTGAGGTTTGGATTTTCCATTGGGTCTCACGCTTTTGTTTTCTGTGGTCACGACTTTTTGGAACCACTGGCTACTCCTGTTCATCTTCTGTAAGGGGCACTCTTTATAAGCCCCACTCATTTTTGTAAAGGGCCTTTTTGGTCTAGCCCATTTTTTGACGAGAAGCCCGGCTTGTGGGATGTCGCAGATACGATGTATACCCCTTCCCACCTTTAAGACAACAGTTAATAATTTCCAAAATAAAGAAAGATTTGTGTTTCAAATTTGCTTGGGTATGCTTGCTTAAATTTGGAGTCCATTTTTATATATTAATTGTGATATGCATGCACACACAGAAATCATGCACACAGTTAGCTAATGGAACCTGTAGTGATATTGGCTTATTACTCATAGTTGGCAGCCTGGAATCGTCCTTGGGCATGTGTTTAGATCTGCCCTTAATTTTTGTTGGATAAGTGACATTTCATTTCAAGATCAGAACCAACTCTGTCCTGATCTTAGGTGCAACAACTTGCTTCTTAATCATCAGGAAACAAGATCTTCCACAAAATTCTGGTGTCTATATAGCAATCACAATCCCAATTACTTGCCTACTAGCAAAAGATCCAATGAAGAAGCCATAAAAGTGCATATATGAGTGTCAATTTGATGTATCTGATAATGCAATGAAATATAGTTGTAACAATCTTTTAGGTCCTCTTTAGGGCTCATTTGAATGCCACTCCTAAAAATTGTTTCAGCACTTGTTGGAGCAGCATTCTAGGTGTGTTTGAGTGTTTCTTTGGGTACCACTTTAGAACCCCATTTAGGACAGGTGCCCCAAAAAAATGTTGCCATGTTGTATGTGAGATTAAAGCTCAGTATACCAGTTCTCATTCCACTTGGAAAATGCTTCATGTTGTTGGAATGCTGAAGTGCCCTAAACTAGGGTTTACTACTTGGATGACATGAAATATATGGATATTTGTAATAGTCCAATTAGTGTTTCAAACAGCGCTAGGCGGCACCTAGGCGGTCATGAGGGTCCAGGCCACCCAGCGCCTAGGCGGGCGCTTAGAACCTGGGTGGCCCAATTGGAAAAAAAAAAAAGATAGTCTGATAATGATTAATCCATAAGAATTTTGATAATCCATAAGACCATAATCCCAGTTAAAGAAAAAGAAAAAAAGAAGTCGAGAAGGGGATTTTGATAATTCATCAGAGACCATAATCCATATTTTCAGTTTTCATACAAGGCTAAAACAGTAAAACCATACAAGTATACACTGATAGTCTGATACATTGTAGATTGTACACACAAAAGTTAGATAGTAGAACTAGAAGCTAGAAAGTAGAAACTAAAAATAAGAAAAAGAAAATATACAGTCTAGGACACAATAGTCAACAGTCAACACTCAACACAAAGAGCCTTCAGTCATCATCATCATCATTAGAAGGAATAGGATAAGCCTCATCATATGCATCAGATTTGAGCCCATCATTGTTAGAGTCATCCCCCTCTTCAATATAACGCTTGTCCTCCTCTGTTTTTTCTGAATCTGCATCTTCCTCCACCGCTTCTTTTACTTGCCTCTTATTAGTATGCGCAGATGAGGCCCTAGGAGTCCTTGTTGCTCTACTATTTTCTATCTTTTTGTGCTTCCCTGAATTCAAATATTGTATAATTTCCTCCCTGGTAGCCTTAGGAACATTTTTACATGGGGCAACATCCCCGTTAATATTGACGAGGTGTTTTTTAAATCGGTAAATGCCTCATTAATATCCTTTCCACAATAAGTACATTTAATACGATTTTTGTCATTCGGATTCGGGTTATAACCATACTTCTAACCCGGATCACCACTTTTAGAAGAACCTGGAGAAGATATTTTCATAAAACATGACACATTTTCATCCTTTTTTGGTTCTTTTAAATTCAGAAATTGTCTAATCTCATCCCGAGTAGCTTCAGGAACGTTTTTACAAGAAGCAACATTCCTTTTAATACCAGCAAGGTGTTTCTTGAATCGGTTAATACCCCCTTTGGTATCTTTTTCACAAAAATTACTTCGTATACAATTTTTATTGTATGGTTTGGGTTATGACCATACTTTCAACCTGGATCACTTCTTCCAAAAGAAGCAGAAATAGATATATTCAAATGACAAGGATTTTGTTCTTGTTTTTGTTTTACAAAACTCATATATAGCTTAATCTCCTTTATGATAGCTTCAAGAACATTTTTACAAGGGGCAACATTTCCCTTGATACTGGTAAGATATTTCTTAAACTGGTTTATGCGCCCTTTTGTATCTTTTTCACAAAAATTGCATCTAATGCAATTTTTGTCATTTGGATTCGGGTTATATCCATATTTCCAACCCGAATCTCCATTTCGACTAGATCTTGAAGAAGACATCTCAAAATAAAACAAGCAATCTAAAAAATAAAGTTTTGCACTTTCTTTGATTGCTTGAACTCCAAACTCCCACCTCTGAGATGTTTTCAGGTGCTAAAATAATAAAAAAATATCCTCTAATAGGATGATAAAACTCCAAAACTAAATCTAATCTCTATCTGGGTGATGTTTGGATTCGTTTTTTGTAATTTTGAGAAAAACTTTGATCCGATGGAAATCACAAAATTTAGTTTTTTTAAGGTTTTTCTCTCTCTAAAATGGGTTCTCGTGGGTTTAGGTTTTAAATGAACTTAAAACCCATTCTTAAAAGCCTTTATGTTTTAAAAAAAAATCAATAGAACATCCGCTCTTAGGAGGGGTACAAGCCCCTGGGCGGCTGCCCAGTTTGGCCACCCAATTTGGCCCCCTAGGCTTGGGTGATGCACCTAGGTCATCTGGATCGCCTAGGCTGCTGCGTAGGCGCTGGGTGGTCCGCTTTTTTGAACAATGAGTCCAATACAAAAATCCTCCAAAAAGGATCCATAAGTAGTTGGATATGGAATTAAATCTCTATTGCATGCTGACTAGTACCATCAATCTCCAGAGGTTTATCAGCTACCTTACGATTTGTAAGACAAGCCCCAAAAATGAAATTTTACATGTTCTTATAGTTAAAAATCTGAGTTTATAATAGTCATTCCTGATGGATGCAGATAACTATGACTAAAGCAAGTTCAGTTTAGTGTGTACTGTTTATGTATATTTTATATGGTGACCATTTTTTAAACATCTTTGCACTGTTGATTTGGGAATGCTTATGGGTTAATTTGCATATGATGGGTAATTTCTTTGATCTCAAATTGTATATAAAAACTTACATGATATACGCTTTTCAGAAAGGACAATGCACTGTTAGTTTGTTCCCAAGGAATAGTTGCTGCTGCCAGGTTTTTCCTAGTTGATATATACTATCAAGTGAGCGAGTAGTTCTTTTTTTTTGGGTAATTGTGAGTGAGTAGTTTTGATAATAAAAGCTGTGACTTTTAAGAAATAAAAGTTTGTGGTCTATTGCGTTTTTAGACTATTAGCTTTTCTCTACCATTGAAGCACAATCCGATATGGTAACTGTGAATCGATTTTAGTATCACCTCTGACATTAGTTTATGGAATATGAAGTATCATTATTTTGTTAATCGTTTGTCTATAATAGAGATTCTTTGATGCGAAAGAAAGTTGCAGTTCAAATGATATTGTAATGAATGTCTACCCTCAACGTGATGGAACTCTTTCCACCTTTCAAATTTAACTTGCTGCCCAATGATCCTAAACCTTGAGTCATCGTGTCAAATTATCACCAGTTTTTGACATAGGAATTTGTTAATTGCTTCTATCATCTTCACCTAACGGTGTCAAATAACTTTCCCATGCATTTGCAGGCCCTCCTCCACTCCTCCCACATGTACCATGAGGCCAAGCACTCATTCCAAAGTCATGGCGTCAAGTTCTCAAACCTCGAGGTTGACCTTCCCGCCATGCTTGGCCAGAAGGACAGGGCTGTCTCCAACCTTACACGTGGAATTGAGGGACTCTTTAAGAAGAACAAGGTCAATTATGTCAAGGGCACTGGCAAGCTCCTCTCCCCTTCCCAAGTCTCAGTTGACACACTCGAAGGTGGTAATACCCTAGTCAATGGAAAACACATTATAATCGCCACTGGATCTGATGTAAAGTCACTTCCTGGCATCCCAATTGATGAGAAAAAGATTGTCTCCTCAACTGGGGCACTTTGCCTATCTGAGGTACCCAAGAAGCTCATAGTTATAGGGGCTGGATACATAGGCCTTGAGATGGGTTCTGTGTGGGGTCGACTAGGGGCTGAGGTCACTGTGGTTGAGTTTGCACCTGATATTGTACCTACTATGGATGGAGAGGTTCGAAAGCAATTCCAACGCACTCTTGAGAAACAAAAAATGAAATTTATGCTCAAAACCAAGGTGACGGGGGTCGATGCTTCAGACTCCGGGGTGCGACTGACAGTGGAGCCCGCCGCTGGTGGGGAGCAAACCATGCTAGAGGCAGATGTGGTGCTTGTGTCGGCAGGGCGGGTCCCCTACACCACAGGACTGGGGCTTGAGGACCTTGGGGTCAAAATGGATAAAATTGGGAGAATTGAGGTCAATGAGAAGTTTGAGACCAATGTTAAGGGAGTGTATGCCATAGGAGATGTAGTGCCTGGTCCCATGTTGGCGCACAAGGCTGAAGAAGATGGGGTAGCTTGTGTTGAGTTCATAGCAGGGAAAGAGGGGCATGTGGACTACGATACAGTGCCTGGTGTGGTCTATACTCATCCTGAAGTGGCTTCGGTGGGAAAGACAGAGGAGCAAGTTAAGGCTTTAGGTGTGGATTATAGGGTAGGGAAGTTCCCTTATATGGCAAATAGTCGTGCTAAAGCCATTGATGATGCAGATGGTTTGGTCAAGATTTTGGCAGAGAAGGAGACTGATAAGATACTTGGGGTTCATATAATGGGGGCTAATGCTGGGGAGCTTATACACGAGGCAGTTATTGCACTGCAGTATGGAGCATCGAGTGAGGACATTGCACGCACTTGCCATGCTCACCCAACACTAAGTGAGGCTGTGAAGGAGGCAGCCATGGCTACATATGATAAGCCAATTCATATGTAGAGAGCCCTTTTGGTTTGTGTTGGTGGAGATACTAAATGTAATGAGATGTTGGGTGTGAACTTGATGCTTTTTCACATGAGGCCCATTTTATTTTGCTCAATTATGGGATTGGTTTTTTTCATTGCTTCTTGTTCTTGGAATAATGTTTTATCAGGTTTTGCGTCACTGTATCCTGATACTTTTGATTGGATTGATTACTTTCTATACTTCTGTTTTTTTTTTTGTTCTGTTCATCCTGAGATTTCAGGATGTGGTGTTACAATCGTAAACGAAATAACCAATTAGAAGGCCAATAAATTTTTGGCTCTTTCTCTCTCTCCTCGACTGTCGTGCTCCTGCTCTCACTCCCACTCCCACTCCCGCTCCCGCTCCCGCTCCCGAATACATTGTAGGGAGTCATTATGGTGATCAATCCTTTGTTGAATACGTTGTAGGAAGTCATTATGTTGATCAATCCTTCCTTGGATGGTTTGTTGCCAAGAACCCTTTGACTTAAACGTGCCCACGACCTTGGGCCTCAACTAACCTCGGTTAACTTTACCTTGATTACACGTGGAATGTGAACCTAAGGACACTTACTATTCTATAGATAGAACAAAGTTCCTAATTTAGGACGTCTAGGATTAAAAACATCGCAAACTATGTATTAACTCTAGACAACACCTAAAACATCGAGGACGGTTATATCACAAAGTAGGACATAAACTAAGAGACGTAACAAAGAAGGGACAACACCCTAAAGACCTAATGTTCTCAAGTTCTAGGATAGACCCTAAACAACTTGGCCTTTAGCATTAGAACAACCTGCTTTGATGGCAACTGATATAGCTTACGATTAGCCACTTACTAATCTTTCGATTGATATACATTTGAAGAACATATTAAATTAAACTAAGGTTAATTATCTAACTAGTATTTATCCAAAAACATTGAGTACTCAAACTTGTGAAAATCAATGCGCAATTTTAAACATTTATTTTGATGCTTGAGAAATGAGATTTCAAATATATAATGGAATGAAATCTGTCCTTAACCAAAATTAACAAAATAAAAGTTGATTTTGAAAAAATTTAAAACCAATCCATAAGCCGGAAAGAAGAAGTAGGTCTGCGCAACAAGTTCCTAATGTTTAGAAATGAATTGGGGGGGTAAAGAAAATTAAGGTCTTCATTTTATAACTGAAATTAGGGTTCAGGTTTCAAGGGATCAGTTCTATTGAAAACTAATGGTTAATAGTAAAGGAGATAGAAAAGAACTGAAAACTAATGGTTAATTGTAAAGGAGATAGAAAATATGAAAGAGAAAAGAAAATAAATAAGAGGGAAAGCAAAGCAATAAAAGAAGTAAGAAGGGGAAAGAAATAAAATAAAAGAAAGAAAAAGGGGAAATAAAGGAAAGAAAAGTAAGAAAAGGAAGGAAAAGAAAAAAATTGAAAAACATCTTTGAACCTAAGGACCTTAGAAGGTGTACTAAGCCTTGTCTATGGCCTTCAATTAAGATTTCGGAAAACTCTTTCTAGATTTTTCTTTTTCACAAAATTCTCTAAGATAAAAATTCTCGGGAGCTGTACATTCCTATTTTAAAAGACTTCTAACTGAAATAAAATAATAAAATAACCAAACTACCCTTGAAATCTTTATAACACCTAAAAGATATAAAAACCCTAATATAATTAAAAGTTTAAATAACCTTAATTTTCACTCTAAAACAAAAAAAATAAAAAGACAAAAAACCATAATAAAAATTAACTTAAATTGGTCCAATAGAAAGCCATAATACCCTCATGAAAGCGAGAGAGGCGAAACATGATTCTTTTTTATCTCTTTTTTTTTTTCTTCTTCTTTCTTTCATTCTTTTTTTTTATTTTTTTGGGGTGGTGGTGAGGGGAGGGGGTTGTTTGGGTCTTGGACTAAAACGAAGCTGGAGGATTCAAAATTTGGATAGCTACACTCTCATACATTTCATGTAGGAGCCCAAGGGTTGACTAGGTTAATACCGGCAACCAAGTCCGGTCTATTTCCAGATCAGCCTCTCAAATTTGTAACGCACCACACTTTTAGATCATATGCAAACCTGTATTCATGCCTTCTTGCACAATCATGATAATTCCCGCTCATCAAATGTCGTAATCAAGTGGAATAATAAGTGGTGGTTCTCAATCTTTAAGTTGCACCAGCATCAATAACGTGCCAAGCAGACAAGCCAACTGCTCAAGCACAACAATAGGGGCATTTTAGTATGGACACGATTTCTCTTAGTCGGCCGACTCACCTATTTAAATGAATCATCTTTTCAAATCTATTTTAGAGATGTTTGGATTCAAAATTTTAGGGATGAAACTATCAGCCATGATAAATAGGAACTTGAAAAGAAAATACATTTCAAAACTAAGAAAATAAATTTTTTTGACATGGTTTAACACCCTCAATTTTAAACTTTTAAAAGGCTACCATTTTTTAACATCCATATCCGAGATGGACTTTGAAGTGCATCCCCTGACACATAAAGTACTTAATCCTTTTATTACTACAGGGAGAAAATTGGATGTTTGGAACCTTAACATGTTTCCCATGCGACGGCATTGCAATCTTTGAGCTTTGCATATATACTTTAACGAGAAACAAAAAATGCAGAACAGGAACAGAGTTCATTAATAAGAGATATGTACAAACAGGATACATTTTCACATTTACACAATTAATCGCATCTGATTGTCAGAGAATTTGAGCCTTAGGACCTAAAGCAAGGAAAAGCTTTCAGGTCTTAGGTTGGCCTGAATAGTAGCTTTTTGCTATTGTTGCAAATTACTTCAAACCATCATCAAGAAGGCCTTCAACAAGTGGCACCAACGCCTGAAAAATGAGACGGATAAAAGAAGTCAAATGATTTATATAAGGTGAACGAGGAGGACTTATTCGTGCAACTTAGCATTCTAATCAAAGCTGCATTGCATATAAAAGCATAATATAATTTAAACATCACCAAAGCCCTCTGTGCTGAAGTTAGAAGGGACCCTTAGTTTAAGATGTTTCCATTGGTAGGCATAATTTTGGTGGCTTATGAGAACCAATGCTTAAAAACTCAAACTCAATGGTGTTAACTCAGTTACTGCTAAACCAAGTCCTCTTGCTGAGATGAACAGTAATCTCGGAAAATCAGCTGAGTTTTCAGATCTTGTAAAAAGCTAGAAGTAAAAAAAAAAAATTGAATGCTGGTGGATTCAAATCCATTATGTCAGCAAAGCAACGTAGTCTCCTACCAATGCTAAATGAATTTATGGAATACATTAACATAGAAAGATGTTAAAGTGCGGGTTTAACGTAATAGTGTTGGTTGAGTTAACTTGATGAATTTTTCAAATCTGAAAACATCTTTTTAATCACTGATTTGAATGCATCAAAGAGACATACGTCGATTGTTAGGCAATGTAGATGGGGCCATACTCGTGTAGAGGCACCATGGAAATTAAATCGCATATTAGTCTACGTACTGATGTGAGTTGAGATAATGCCACTCCAATGTCCTAGAGTATAACTTCCTATTATCATTAACAAATGATATTTAATGTTCCAACTAAAAAAAATCTATCTTTTACATGTTTTGGTCTTTCTGAGTGTGTGTGTGGTTTATTCTAAGATATATTATACTAATGGTAAAATTTAGAATTTCCTAGTCTGAAATGTTTGACAAGAATATGCCTTTATAAATATGAAAATTACACTAACAATATAAATTTGAATTTTAAATTACTTTTAAAGTCCAATCATAATTCAAAAAGTCAAAAGAATCTTTTTAAATTTGAATTGAGTTTTGGATGGAGTTTGAATAACAAAAATACCATTCCCAAAATACATGAACTATTTATGATTAAAAGCTATTTTTTAATATATAAGGGCATTATATGGTCAAAGAGTAGCAACTAAATTCTAAGTTCACCATTAGTGTGTTGCATTCTAGAATACACACACACACACAAAGACAAACAATCTTATTAAGGGGTGCCATCTAATGTTTCAAGTTTCAAAAATAAAAAAATAAAAAAAATAGAATTGCTAAAATTAGATTATCTAACATGTGTACATACGGTGTGTTTCTTTACTCATATATAAAAATATTAACCTGAAATCTTGGTTCAGCTTTCTTGACACCCAAAGGTCCTATTTCTTTATATGATCAATCATATTAATTCTGTAACAAAAGGAAGAAAAGACTATGATACTTACAGAAGTCACCCCTGCTAAGATTGCAGAAACTTCATAAGAAAGGGTAAGCTGAAACCAAAAAATTTCAAATTGGTAAAGGCCCCTTTCACATGTTATATAAAAAATACAAGTAAATGATAATGGCATATGCGTCAGACTCAGATAGCTTAGCAATTCATGCTCACTTCAACTTTGCAAGAAGATGGACCCTTTGGGTAAAATCTCACTGCTCCTCTGCACACAAATAATCAACAGCGAATCATTATTTGATGAACAAACAGTTCAACAACTTCAGCTACCCTTATTGTTGGAGAACTTCGATCAAGTGTCTATGAGACTTTAAATTATATTGGTGGTGATGCATGTACATTTATGATTGATAGTAGAACAAAGTTCGATGACATGTGAAAATACCTAGCAAAACGCTTTTCAATTGACATGCACTTGATATTATTGAGGTATTTTGTCCTGAGAAATAGAAGTTTTATTGTGAACCTATTCATTGACAATGATATTGAGAAGATGTTGAACGCAAACGAACGTGAGAATAATGTGTTCGTTTATTTATTTAATGGGAGTGAACATAGAGGCGGAAGTACTTCACATAATAACAAGGAAATTGAAGAGGATACACCAAGGTTTCTTAGTTCATAGGAGGAGGCATTGCATCCTCCTATGAACTAAGGCATTGCATCCTCCTATGAACTAAGGCAATCGAAGAGGCATTGCATCCTCCTACACAATGCGCTAAGGTTCTTTAGCTCATAGGAGGATGCACTTACCGGTATAGGGCAATGGTTTGAATCTCTAGGTGATTTTCAAGTGGCCCGTAGTAAGTTTGCTACAGTACACCATTTCACATACCGTCTTGTTAAAAATGAGGGTATCACATATAAGGGCAAAATGCATGGGTGATAGATGTAAATGGGAGATATATGCTTCGAAGTTTGGCAAGACAATGTTTTTAGCATCAAAACATGGAAAAGAGAACATTTGTGTAATATTGGGACAAG